GCGCTGTGGGAGGCGGGGCTTGTTGACGACATGCGTGAAACCTTGCGCTACCGCAAGCGCGATGGCAAGGAGCCGGTGCCTATCACGACCGTCTTCTACGTGACATCTGTCCGACCCATACCTGTGGAAGGCAGCTGTTGGTGCCCCTCCAGCCTGCCTATACCCGCACCACTGGAGCAGGAGCTGCGAGAGGTGAGGAGAAAGCGCAGCACCAATGTAGCTCCTGCGAGCGGAGGCGCGAGCACGTCGAGCCTTCCGGCATCCTCTTCCTCATGCATTTTTCCTGAGGCGGCTCCCAGCACGTCCTGCGCATCGTATCACCGCTCATGCCGTGAGGGCTCGCGAAGGGCACCGTCCATCACAGCGCAGACAACATCTGAGCGATCTCTGGAGAAGCGCTGGTGCGTCCGGCCTTTGCGCCCTGCTAAGCCGGTGCTCCCAGATATGAACAACATGGACGACCACGGTCACGCGCCTCTGAATTCGAATCGCACCCAGGAGGCGTGGACGTGCGTGCTGAACCTGCGTGAACTAGAGGAGTTCGGGATTGAGGTGACCATCACGGTGCCCTACGTGGTGGAGGGGGCTGTGCTGCACCTCAAAGGTACCACTGTCATTTTCTCTGGCATGCTGCAGTCGAGCACCAGCGGCACGCTGCTGCTGCCTGTCTTCTGCCCTGCGCCGGGTGGCACGGTGAGCACGGAGATGACATCCCTGTGGGTGAAGCTGTATGTGCAGTATCTGCTGATCTTTCCATTGGATGGGTGTGCCACACGCAGTCCGCTGGAGGTGGTGCGCTCGAGCGAGACCTTCGATCGCCTCACCGTTTCCACTCTGATCGGGCACCGTGGGTTAGGCAAGACGTACACGCGTTCCCATGCGATCGGCGGCGCAGCTCCCCTCGTTGTAAAGTGCAACGAAAACACTGTCACGGCATTCCAGGCAGCACATTCCCGCGGCTGCGCGATGGTTGAGCTGGACGTGATGTTGTCCTCTGATCGCGTGCCCGTGGTGATCCACGACCCTGTTATTGAGCTACTGGCGCTGAAGCGCGACGCCGCGTGCACGCCATGGGGCCAGCATGAGCATGTCCCTGTGCGCGCGGCTGTGCATAAGCTGACCATGTCGCAGCTCCGCGATCTGCACGCGCAGTGTTGCAAGACGCTGGGCCGCGTTTTTCCCCTTAAGGATATGCTTGCGCACCACTGGGAGGGGCTGGTACGGTGGGCGTCCACGGAGAAGGCTAAGTCGCCGGGTAACGGTGCCATCCCCTGCGCGTCACCGCAGCACCAAGGCTCCGCCATTGGCAGTGCACTAATGCGTGGGGAGGACTTGCCCGATGGCGTGCCTTCGCTTCGTCACGTGCTCGAGCAGACGCCCCCGTCTCTCCGCTTCAACCTGGAAGTCAAATACCCGTTTCAGCCGCGCTGGGACTCGAATCTCTTCTTGCAGAGTGACGCGTTTGAAGTGAACGGGTTCGTCGATGCCATTCTCCGCATTGTTTTCGAGTTTGCCGGCGATGGGCGCGAGATAACGTTCAGCAGCTTTGATCCCAACATCTGCCTCGCCCTGGCTCTCAAGCAAAGCCGCTACGACGTGTTCTTCCTCAGCGACACCAAGGAGCTGCGTGACTTGAAGGACTACCGTTCGTTTCACATTGAAGGCGCTATTCAGTTTGCCAAGGCGCACCACCTTGCGGGCGTGTCGATGAATGCTGGAACGCTGCTTTCTGCTGAGGACGAAGCGGTGCTGGAGCAGATTCCTGAAGCACCGATCTATGGCAATGCCGAGCGCGGACCCACCCCGGCGGATTTCTTCAGGGCGGATTTAAACACGTCGTACGATGCGACGAGCGTGCCCTCCTTTTTTGGGTCCTTTGGCCGCGCGATGGTTGCCGAAATACACCGGCGGCATATGAAGGTGTGGTCCTGGGGAGGGGCGAACAGCCACCTTTACTTCACCTACGTACAGGCGGCGAAGATGCGCGTCGATGGGGTTATTGGAGACCGCATTCCCGTGTTTTCGCCGTGAGCTTTGGGCATCCACGTATGTTTGTTTGCGTGTGTGGTGTGGCTGCTGAATGTGAGGCCGCTGACGTTCATGGAACGATGTTTTCACACGAGTGTTAGCCCCCTTTTTTTCTTTCGTTGTATCGTTTGTATCGTTGTGCTGTGGGCTGGCGCCGAGTTGCGCACTGCGTGCCCGTTGAGGCAATTTGAATTTTGCGAACATCAATGGTCAATGCAATGATCATCATAAGGGAGAAACAAAACTGGTCATCTCACACACACACAACAAAACGCAAAGACGACAACAGATCAGTGTGTGCTTCTCATTCACTCTTCCTTCTCTTACTTTCATTTGTTCTTTTGGGAGCTTTGCTACCGGTGCAGGGTTAACTGTTGACGCTATCGTTTTCTTCCTTTTGTGTTTACGGGACTAGTCAACGTCAGAAACATATACATACACACGCACACACAAACAATTACACGAATACCTCAAACGGCTGTTGTGTGCACCGAAGCGAGGTGGAAGCGAATTGGGTATGCACATGGGTGCTTTATCCGACGAACAGTGTCGAACTACCGTAGGCTGACGAAAGTAAGCTTGACCGCGTTGGAAGCAGCGCGTCCGGCGTTGGTTGAACGCTACACATTCCCCAGCTGCACTTGCATCTTACCGTCTCTCCGTTTTCTTTTCTTTGCTGTGCTGCTGCGCTTCTGATTCACCTCAGCTACCGTCTTTTTTCTTTCACTCGTTTCACTCCTCAGCAGTGTTTTTTCCTCCTTCGCCCTACATCGAAGCAAACGACTTCCCACGCTCTTTTACACGCCTTTTCGCAGACAGTTGGTGCACGTGGTGGCCCGCCGCGCTACGCATCAAAGGAAACATCCGGCCGAGTGCTCCGTTGCACATGCCCGCCAAGATGGACCGTGGCTTTTCCCTCGCTGTGGCGTTGTGCGCGCTGCTCGCGGTGGTGTTCAGTGAGACGTCTCTCGCCGCCCCCACCTACAAGGTAGAGTTGGTGCAGATTGTACATCGCCACGGTGCCCGTTCTCCGCTTGTTCCGCACAACGAGACGAAGATCTGCGGCACCGAGTTCCCCTGCGGCTATCTGAACTCCGAAGGTCAGCAGATGATGATGAATACCGGCAAGTTTCTGCGCCACCGCTACACCGAGGACGCGTCGGTAGTATCGGAGCCGTTTTTTCCCTCCGACGCCTACAATTTGTCAATATCGCATACCCGCTCGACGGATGTGCTGCGCACGTTGCAGAGCGCTGTTGCGGTGCTGCGCGGTCTCTTCCCATACCACCCCGCCGAATTCCCTGCCGTGCACACCGTCGAAAACATCGAGGATTCGCTGCTGCACAGCTCCATTGTACCTATACTCCGCACCCGCTACCACTACGCCACGCAAGAGGTGCGGCGGTTGTGCGACGCAGTGCTGGACAAACGCATGTCCTTTGAAACCCTCCAGTTGGCGGCCGCAGAGGTGCACATGCAGGGCTACTGCGCTAACTACACCCTACGCTCAGCGTGTGCGGACGTGCTGTGCGACATTGCACATTCGTACCAGTCCACCGGCCAGCTCGAATCCACGCCTGTGCTGCGGCAGCACCTCAGCGACGTGTGCGCGGTGACGGCGGCCAGCTCACAGTTTATCTTCAGCTACAACGCAAGCAACCCCGTCCACCAGAAGCAGGGAGCACCGTTCTATCACCTGTCGAAGCTCTTGGTGAACAACATGGCGCTGCACGTGAACCGCAAAAAGGCGCCGACGTTCAAGCTGTACCAGTACAGCACACACGACACCACCATCTCACCGCTGGCCGCCTCGCTCGGCGACAACTCGCTGACGGCGATGCTGCCGCCCTTCGGGACGACCTTCATTATTGAGCTGCTGTCCGCGGTAGGGGGCTCCGCCTCGTCCGGGTCGTGGCACGTGCGGGTGCTGCGCGGCCACCCTGGCGTGACGCCTTCGACCAACTTCGTCTTCGCCCTCAGCGACTTCCCCATGCGCTGCATGGACGCGAAGCACACGACGTACATCGCCGACGACAACGTGTGCCCGCTAGCTGACTTTGAGCGCTTTGTGGCCTCCACCGCCCCAACGAGTGAGATGGGCACGTGCTACCTAGACCCGAACCTGTACGGCCGCATGGACTGCCCCCTTGACGCCGTGGGCGACAACCGCAGCCTGTCCGCGGACTGCCTCGTGTATCGCAAGCAGTGCCCGAGGTTTGCGTGCGGCACTGGCTACTACCTCGACGCGGTCGACTACGGCTGCCGTCGCATCAAGTCGGGCGAGAATGTCATCAATCCGCCTGGCATGTCACGCGGCGGCATCGCGTGCTTGTTGATTGTGCTCTTCATTGCAGGCGCCGCTGCGGGTGTGGCCGGCGTGACGATCAGGAAGCGCTTTGTCAAATCAAAGGGTGAGCAGGTGGTGGTGGAGGATTTTGATTAGTTTCATCGTCTTTTCTGCTGTTGATAGTGATCGATGATTAGCGAACTAATCTCCACATACGTACACCCTGCGGTTTTCCTTCTTCCGAGTCTACCGTGCTAATTCTTCTTTGTTTTTGCTTTCTATGTATGCTCGTACCTTCGGCTCTCTTTCATCTGTGTGGTCGTTCAAGTACCCCTCTGCTGCCGACGCGTTACCGATACCGCTTCCCAAAATGAACAAAAAAAGGCCTTCCATGTTTTAGCGGAGTGCCCTGGGCGGGTGCCGATGACGAAACGCCTAGGTCTCGCAATCGCTGAAGGCGATGGAGCTGCTGAGTGCTCTCTGTGCGTGCACTGACGACGTGTTGATCGTGTCACGTTGTTGTCAAGCGCGTGCAGGTTGAATGGAAGTGCTGCTTTGCTTATCAGCTTCATGTTTTGTGTGTTTTGCACAGGCCCTCTGCTCTTCTCTTCCGCATCTTCCTTTGCTTCGGCCACCACCACCACCACCGCCCAGCCGAAAAGAAAAAAAAAGATGTGTTTCCCTACCCTTGGTAGGATCAAATATTCCCTGTGATAGGAGTACTGGAGTTTTTAGTTAAGCACTAAGTGAACAATCACCGGAGGTTCTTGCGTTCACATCTCCCTGCGCAAGGCTTGCTATTGGCCGGGCTTTTCATGCCCCCGAGGCCCACTACTCGGAAAAACACATTTGAGATGCGCAGCGCACACACCCAAAAGCCAACGGGCCGACCCAACGCCGTCGCCCAGCGGCCCCTCACATCGGCGCCACCAGGGCGGTTCTGGGTTCGGATGTGGGCTGCCGCCGCCTTTTCGGCAGGCGCGGCTGGGAAAAAGGGTCCAGCCGGGAATTGAACCCGGGACCTCTCCCACCCTAAGGGAGAATCATGCCACTAGACCACTGGACCGACGACAACGCGGAGCAAGCACTTCGTAGAGAACACACTAGTAACAAAACATTATTTTCCCTTCCGGAAACCAGGCGCAGTTGGTCTAGTGGTAGAATTCTCGCCTGCCACGCGGGAGGCCCGGGTTCGATTCCCGGACTGCGCATCCTTTTCGTTCGTTAAGCCTCGAACACACCGGGATGAAGAAATACTGCACCTAAAGCAGCGGCTGCTTAGCTCAATGGCAGAGCGCCGTCCTAGTAAGACGGAGGTCACGGGTTCGATCCCCGTAGCGGCCTTGCCTTTTTTCCGAAAACGCGGGGCAGGGGACCGTCGGCGGGCCCGCCCGCAACCGCATAGCGAGGCCGCGTGGCAACGGGGTCAACACCCTGGGTTGGGAAAAAAGACAAGGCCGCTACGGGGATCGAACCCGTGACCTCCGTCTTACTAGGACGGCGCTCTGCCATTGAGCTAAGCAGCCACTGCTCTAGGTGCAGTATTTCTTCATCTCGGTGTGTTCGAGGCTTAACGCATGAAAAGGATGCGCAGTCCGGGAATCGAACCCGGGCCTCCCGCGTGGCAGGCGAGAATTCTACCACTAGACCAACTGCGCTTCGGTCGTTGGCGCTCCTCTTGAACTCCGCGGCCTGCGGGGAGGTGAAATGACGGTTTGACGGAGGAAGGGAGCGGGGGTGGGGAGCAGGTGGTGAGGAGGTCAAAATATATATATATATATATACACGCCTGCGCGTAAGCCGGGCGAAGCCATCTCCCAAACCCAGGTTGGCGACGACTGACGGAAAACGAACGCAGTTTGTCCAACGCGTCGCAATCACTTCCTTCTCAGCGTTGCATACAGACACGCACACACAACGTGGGCTCAAAAAAAAAAAAAGAGAAGAGAAGAGAAGGCCGACTGCTTTGATTTTCAATTCCCTCCAACACGAGTAGTATGACACATGGGAGCTGATGCAAAAACTCGGGGAAAAGCGAGCACAACATTTAAGCAAACACGAACACAATAACGTGGTGTAGTATGAGTGACGTGTAAAAACCAAACTGGAAAAATAGATGATGCCAAAAACAATAGCAAAAGCAAGGTTGCCGCTCACTTGATGTTGAGGACCGCCAGCTCGCTGTGGAAACGCTCATCTGCCGCACTGGTTTTGTTGCTGTCATGCGAACGTGCAGCAACCCACTCGCGCAGCGTGGAGACCATGAAGACGGCCGACTTGAGGGCTTCGGCTTCGTAGATGCCCTGCGCACAGCCGTCGGCGTCGTCCTCATCGTCATCCCAGTCGTCCCAGCAAATGGAATCATCCTCCTTTTCCTCCTTACTTTCTTCGTTAGCCTGGTCTGCCGGGACGTCATCGCTCGCCTTCTCACGCCATCGTGGGGACACCTTATCAAGCCGCCCAAACACGCTCTCCAGCGCCAGCGCATACCAGTCCACGTCGCTGCCAACATCGTGCTGGCTGTCCTTTTCTCTGCCGCTGCCGTTGCCGTGGTGGTGCTCGCACACGTCGAGGCGTGCAAGGCTCATCATCAGCGAACGCAGCTCGCGCAGCACCGACAGCTCTGTTTTGGTCGACCGAAAGAGGTCCTTGAAGCACACGTTGTCCAGTGCACGAAAGACGTCCGAGTCGCGACGGATAACAATTCTCGCGTCGTTGATGCTCCCGTCCTTCTCCAACGGCCCCCAAAGCACGGCAGTGGGAAGGATATCTTGTGTCGGAACGAAAAGCTTCAGCCAGGTGTGACCCAGCGGCGCTGCTTCACCACCCTCTGTCAGAGCCGGTGCCGCGTAGACGTCGTGGTAGACGTATGCCATCGCCCGCTCTTCCGTCGAAACAGCCATGAACGCATGCGACGACACTGCCACACGAATCATGGCTATGATCAAGCACTGCTGGTGCGTCTGGGCTTTGGCGAGCGCTGCGGTCAGCGTCGGAATCAACTCCACAATGCGCTGCGACTGCGCTGGCGTGCCGCAGTGGTGTACCGCACGCACAAAGTCAGGGCCGAAGCGCACCTGCTCACAACGCACCGGATTCGACAGCAGCCCCACCCACCAGCTCGGCTTCAGTAACTCTTCAACGCAGCGGTGCCATTCCGCGGGATCCATGGCACGGGCAAAGTACGCCGTCAGCACGAGCAGCGCGCACGTCGACGACGAACAGGGAGTGGGGGTGCTGCTGCCGTTGCCTGCGTCCTTTCCTAACTGCGCTTGAGAAGCACAAGATATGCGCTCGAACGTGGCGTACGGGCGGATCATCTGCTCTATCTCCGCCCGCGTCTCGCCCGTCATCTCCGCTTCAATGCGCCGAATCGTCAGGTAGAACCACAACCCAGGCATGACAATGGTGGCCATGGACAGCTGCGCTTTCGCCAACGCCGCCGCGTCGCCTCGAGCCTGAAGTTGGTTGAGCTCACCCTGCATGCACCCTTCCGCCCCGCAGCACGCCTCACAAATGCGCGGCAGGTCTGCCGGGGCCAAGAAGCGAACGCAGCTTTGCAGGAAAAGGGGGAAGAGCTGACTGCCCATGCGAGCCACCTCAAATCGGGGAGACTGCATTGCGTGAAAGACCACCGACAGCGGTGTGACGCTGCGCAAAAGTGTCAGCATGTTGTCGGAGCGCGAGCTTGCACGGTGCCAGTCACGCGTTGTGGCGCGAATGGACACGATGCTCATGAAGTGCTGTTGCAGCGCCATCATGACTGTCTCCTGACGTTTCCAGTTGTGCTCGCCATCCTCATCCTCATCCTCATCCCCATCCTTATCCTCATCTTCGTCTTCGGCGGCGTCGTCGTCGTCCGCGCCTTGGGTACCGTTGCAGCCATCCGCCTTCCCGCGGTGCGGCCGTTGACCGTTGTACTCGCATAGACACTGCATCAAGTACACAAACACTGGTGGCGATGGCGGGCGCAGGATCTGCGCAATGTACTGACGCACGCTGGACGCTGGGTAGCTAGCGAGCCGTAGCAGCAGCGGCATGACGCTTGAGTTTGCCACCTGGATTACATTCATGTCTACAAGCACCACCAAGGCGAGCAGGTTGCCCTCTAAGACCCGGGTGATCTCCTGATCAGAGGGGGTGAGTGGGGAGCGGCTGCGGGCGGGAATGGGCACTTGCGCGAGAGTGCCACTGATGTAGTCAACAATGAAGGATGTGATAGCGGACGGAATCGGTGAGGCGCGGTCGCGGTCTACGAGAACGCCGAGTAGGGCAGCCGCAGACTCACGCACCGGCAGCTGCGGGTCGCGAAAGGCGGGGAAGAGGACCTTAAAGAGCAGCCTTCGAATTCCGGCCTCATCGGCGCGGAGGGCAGCCCCGGGAGCGGTGCGACTACGTCCGTACACCTTAACCAGCAACCGCACTATACCGTCGTGCTCGTACCAGCGCGTTGTGCTCTCCCAGTAGCGCCAGAGGTACTCTAGCGGGGCCGACACGTTGACCTTGCAAGGCACTGCGGACGGTGTCGAGGGCGTTTTGAAATCTTCCAGCGAGAGCCTGCGCTGCTTCGCCGTTTTCAGCATTCTGTTTTCATTTTCCATTTTGCCGCTGCTCCGCCGTCGTGACGATCCAGGTGCGGAGTGTATGGCGCTGCTGCCGCGGTCCGACAGCGTTGTGAGGGTCTGCTTGCTCTCTACTCCTGCCAGCTCTTGCAGCACGAGCACCTCGCGAACCTCCGAAAGCAGCAGGTCAGCCATGGGCGAAAGGCAAACTGCACGGATGCGCGACCACGGATCGATGACGCCACGCATGAGCACATCTGCCCACTTCCATCTACTCACCTCCTGTGGTGACGCACTTTCTCGGCTGGGTGGCGTGGGTGCCGAGCCAAATGAATTTCCCTTCGAGGAGAAGAAGTCACCCGTGTAACGCGCGTTGATGTGCGTGACAATCTCGCTAAATGCTCGAAGACGAGCATCTGGGTTCTCGGCGATGGACTCGTCAACAAGATACGTGAGAACATCTGAAACAGAGCCGGTATTTAGGAGATCACAAAGTAGAGGCGACAACGACGATGACAGCGGTGGCGACGCTTCTTGTGCGTGCTCTGCGCTGGAGCTCATCATGGTCGCTTTCATTATTGTAACGGTGACTGGGAGCCAAGCCTTTTTCTCTTGCTATATGATTGGCTGCAGAAACGAGAGGATATTAAATTGTTCAAATGCTAATGCGCTGCTCTCAGGGCATCGGGTGTCCTTTCCACTGATGGCCCTGCACACGCAGGTGTGTATCTGTGCCTATGGTGGACTGGCACGAAAACAACGAAGTAGACAACGACAGTATAGTAAAGCACAGCAGTAATAGAGAAATGAAAGCTCTGCCCCTCTTATTTTATTTTTCCTTCTTTTTGGAGGGTTGTGGTGCGGGGTAGGGTGAGCTACAAGAAGAATGAGAAGAACAAGCGAGAAGTAAAGGTAGTAGGAAGCCGGGGACAGCGAGCATTCCGCAGCACCCTCCTCTCGGGAAGCATCAAGAATGCACGGCCGCTCTCAATAGGAAAGCAGAAGCATCGCAGAAAACAATGTCTCTCGAGTGGGCGGGGGTGGGGTTCTTATGGCATCGTTGTTAGTATCAGAGTCTCCTAGGCGCGTCGGTATTTCCACCTTACCGCCAGATAGATGGGGAGGGTGGCGGCGGTGGTGGGTAGAGCAGATGCAACTCCACTGCACTCAATAACATTCCCCCCTCATTTTGTTTTTAAAAAGATGGCTTCGAAAGACAAGTTCTGAAAATGCT